ATTTTACCTTGGTTTTCTTGAGAATCTTACCACTAGCAAGTTCACTTGACTGGAGATTAAATAAAGTGAGTAGGCAAACTGAAAGGAAAAGAAAATTATGAGTGCAAGTAAGGAAAACTGTTGGCTGGTAATGACCCTTCAGCTTCTTAGGATACACAACAGGTTTCTATAGCTCTTTAGGCTCACTTAGAGTACACAGACACTTTGCTGCAGAAAAGAAATAGTGTGAAGTAAGCAAGCCTTGGGGTCATAAGAGTTGCTAAATGCCAAGTTTGTTTTTGAGGGAATTTGTTTTCCTTGGTGGTTGGTTTTACCAGAATTCTCTGTATTGTCAAGAAATCCCTAAGATGGTGGAAAAAATGGGAGCATTTTTGTTCATCCTGTTATAAGGAGGGAAGTAGAGAACCGATCTCATAGCTCTGTTTCTTTGGGCTTTGGTTACTTTATCTGGGGAGAAGATGTTTCCCCAAAATACACAGTATTCATGTTCATGCCTCTCCACATTTCAAACCTTCAAGCATCCATGACCAAATCAGCTTGGCACACTGGTTGAATATTGTCAAGCATCCTCATTTTACAGATGCAGAAACAGGTTAGGTGACTTAATAGGTAGTAACAGAGCTGAGAATAAAACTCAGGTCTCTTGATACCCATGATATTTACACAACACCACAGGAACTGTAAGTGGGAAAAAGGATCTGTGTTTTTCCCAGCAAGCTCCCAGAGTGGAAAACCCTTATTATTACTTGTGTCTGAAGTTGTAATATATGAGAGATCAGTATCAATCTAGTAAGTAACTGAATCACAAAAGCAATGGGATCAGTGTTTGAATAAATTGAGCAGCAAACACCTTCCTACCTTTTAAGCAGAGAACTTAATCAGGTATTCAAAATGTTCTTTTTTTTTTATTTGCTTTTTCTTTATTCTGTCACTGACAGAGAAGCTTATGGATGATGCTTTACCCTCACTTCCTGGCTGATAATCATTGTGAGAAATAATGTTTCTGGAAAATAGTAGTGTAGCTGAAAGTTTTAAAAAATTATCCAGTTAAATATGGAAACTCTGTAATGTCACTGATGCCTATTGAAGAATTTTGAAAAATACATTCTTTCAAATTTAATAGAATGATACAATATGAAATCATTGTGATTACTTCTATTTGATTATATTGGAGATCAAACCATGTCTCCACAAACCAAAAGTTACATATTATTTATACTTTCTATAAATAGCTAGCATACTGAAGAAGTGAGAGAGAAGTGGAAGAATGAAGAAGGGAGAGAAGGAGGGTTAATTGTTAGTTCTGTCTCCAAACATTAAGATTTTAATGAGGTTATACTCTTTTAGAAAATAAAAATATAGTAACTTGGTTTAGTGCTTCCCTGATTCTGTTTGCTTAGTTATTTCTTCTTTTCTGTTTTTAACCCTTTTATATGCATCATACTGCTGCCATATTAGATAATAGAATTACTTTGTAACAAATAAGATGGAAAAAGCTTATTATAAATTTAAGGATAATGTTATGATTAAAAAATGAAAGATCTCTAGAAAACCATAATGTTGTAAAGGATGAGATCACTCATTTTTTGACTATGAAATTTTATATTTAATGTAATTAAAAATGATGATGTAGAAAATAAGTTATTGCTGAAACTCTCTATCGTGTCATTTTGTTCATTCAGTAAGTACCTGTTGCACACCTACTATGTGACTAACAGTTTTATTTTTAGTTTTAATTCAATGAACATTTGTAAAGGGCCTACTTTGTACAAGGAACTATGCTCAGTGTTGTTAATGTAAAACATGGTCTTAAGTAATCTTTCCCCTCCAACAAGTGGTTGTGGTGGGGCTTGTGAGGGAAGAGAAACAACATGTCTAAAAGTTAACTACAAAGTATATACTGTGTAAGCATATTAAAAACCTCCCTTTTGGTTTACTTAGAAATATTAAGCTGTAATATTCTCTGATCTTAAAAAATAACACTTTCCAGACTTCTGTTTGAAGGTGGGTTAGGAGGAGGACAAAAGACTTTTTTTTTTGAGAAATTCATTAAGGATAATAACCAAGACTTAGAATCAAGAGCACCTCTTGTCTTGTTAAAAATATTACCTACCTGAAGTGATTAGGCAATAAATAGATCCATCTGAGGTCTGTCTCCTCTTCCACATCCTCTCATGGGGATATGACCTCCACTGAGAATATATTGAGATATTGATCATAGGGAGGAGGTCTCTTTGTTTATTTTTGTTTACTCTTGGAGAACACTGGAGAGAATTGTCAGTTATGTAATGCTATAGTAAATATCATTTTGAAAAGTTAACTCAAAATTATGTTTTTTATGGGCTGTGATTTTTCTTGAGTCCTAAAAAATGTTATTTCAAATTATCTTGGAGTAGGAAGAGGTATGTTGCAGATATGGAGAACTATGTAATTTTGGATCTCTTTTTTCTCTTCTCTTCTCTTCTCTTCTCTTCTCTTCTCTTCTCTTCTCTTCTCTTCTCTTCTCTTCTCTTCTCTTCTCTTCTCTTCTCTTCTCTTCTCTTCTTCTCTTCTCTTCTCTTCTCTTCTCTTCTCTTCTCTTCTCTTCTCTTTCTCTTCTCTTCTCTCTCTCCCCCTTCCCCCCCTTTCTGTCTCCCTCTTTCTCTTTCTCTTTCCTCCCCCCCCACTATTGGCTATTAAATTAATGCTAAATTAAGTAAAATTGTTTCTGTCAGACTTGTGCCTGAAACAGAGAGAACAGTATTACATTTCCCCCTCTATTAAAATATGAAGTTAATCTCAAGAGGAAGAGAATGGGGAATCAGAAAAGGCCTCATGTAGGAGATTTAACTTGTACTGTGCTTTGAAAGAAGCTAAGGAATTTATGAGCCTCAGGTGAGGAAGGAGAGTATTCACAATATGGGGAATTGTTTGTGCAAAGGTACATTTGACAGCCAGAGGATTTCGTGTGTAAAGAACTATCAGGGAAATTTGAGTAGAATGGAGAATAAATGAAGAAAAGGAAGGTGGGAAAATGTAGAAGGCTTTTAAATTCCAGGCTGAATATTTTGTGTTTTGTCCCAGACAAATAAGGAGCTGTCAGTGTTTTTTAGTTGGAGGGCGGGATTATATGGTGAGATCTGACCTTTAGGAATTTCATGTTAGCAATTCTATGGAAGATAGCTTGGTGAGGTCAAAGACTGCAGACAGAGAGATCAATTAGGAAGCACTTAGATAGTGACTTGCACATAGTAGGTGCTTAATAAATGTTTATTGATTGATTGCAATAATCAAAGTTAGCAGTATTGGCCTGAACTAACACAGCATCTATACTATTGGTGAGAAGGAGATAGATACAAGAGATGTTGTGGCAATAGGGCAAACCCAATTTGGTAACTGATTAGCTATTTATAAGTTGTATACAAAAATCTAAACTTTATTTTAAATTTTTTAATTTTTTGCTTTTTGGTGAGGCAGTTGGGGTTAAGTGACTTGCCCAGGGTCACACAGCTAGTAAGCTAAACTTTATTTTTTAAATGAAAGTTTTGTGAAGGAAGGGCTAGCTAACACAATGGGTGGTAGAGTCCATGTCCAAAAAGACATCAACAGGCTAGTGTTGGATTGAATCTAACAAGATAAAATTTAATAGGAAATGATAAAATCTTATACTTGAGTTTAAAAATGAACCTCACAAGTATAAAGCAGAAGAGAAGGGGTTGGACTGTAGTTTGTCTGAAAAAAAAATCTGAAGCTTTTACTGATCTACAAACTCAAAATTGTTTGTGTTATGGCAGACAAGACATAATACGCCTATAGGCTTCATTACCAAAGTTGTATATTGTTCAGAACTAGGATAATATTTGTTCATCCTGCTTTACTTTTTTTCTGCTCAGAATTTACCTAGAATCTTGTTCATTTCTTATTGCCGCATTTTAGAAAAAGTCAGATCATCCAGAGGAGGGCAATTGAAAGTTGTAATGATCCCTAGTGTCCATGCTAGAGGCTAAGTTGAAGGAACTGGCGATGTTTGGTCTAAATAAGAAAAGATTTAGTGGGGATATAATAATTGAAGAGGATCTGAAGAGTTTTCTTGTGGAAGAGGGATTTGACTTGCTTTGCTTAGCTCCAGAGGTCAGGAGTAGGATGGATGGATAGAATTTGCAAAGATCGAAATGAGGAAAAACTTGCAAATAATTAGAACAGTTCAAAAGTACAGTGGGCTACTTTGGGAGGCAGGGAAGGTCTTCAGATGGGAGTAAAATATTGTAATTGGGACTCATGTTTGGGTAAATTTTAGATTGGGGGCCTCTGAGATCCTTGCAACCTATCAGAATCCATGATTCTTTGAACTGTATCAAATATGCCTTAATTCTCTGCATTCACAAGTGGAAGCCTAGGTGTTGAGTCTGATCTATTTACGTAGGAGCTTTCCCCCACCAAATCTGAAAAGATTTTACATAGAAAATCACAAATCTTGAAAACATTAAAATTTATATTTGATATCAATAGAGGTGCCAGGATTTATATTTTGTTAAATATAACTTTTTTTTTATATTTGCACATGTAGCAAGCTATAGTAAATAAGGTAGACACTGACCCAAGGGATATTTACTCTTTTTTCTATGAAAAACGCAATATATATTGATATAATAGGAAATAATTATGATAATCCATTTTTCTACTTATGCAAAAGGCGTTGAAGGTTAAGTTCATTTAGTCGTGTTGGGCAAAAGTTGAGAACTAGGCCACATATGCTAGTATTTGTAGAGTGCTTAGCAAAGTGTCTGGTGCATAGTAGTTGCTTAATAAATGCATATTCCATTCCTTATTGGAATTTGCATATGTTTATATTACTATTTCTTTTGATGAATAAAATCTATTTCACTTGGAAGTCTCACAAAGGAGAAAAATAACTTTTTGACTACTAAGATCCTTGATTACTTATTTATAGTGGGTGTATTTTTTTTCCAAAGTTACTGAAACCTATGGTTTTATTTATTTATTTTTGTGTTTCTTTTCAGGTGTTGGTTGTAAAGCATTAACTATCCTCTTCAATATCCTTGCAATCTTCCTGTACAAGCCTCCTCCCTCTGGCACACATGTCACATTCCAGAGTGAGAATGTCGTTGTGGCTTCTGTCCCGGTGGAACCTGATCACAGCAAAACAAGACATGATGGATAAAAGAGAAAAGAAGAGGACATGCAATAGCAGAATGACTAGATTTTTTAAAAAATTGTGAATTGCCATTGCAGCATTATCCACACCAAAAGAAAAAAAATCACACTTTTGGTATGGTCAAGAGATTTAACAACTGAATTCAATTTTCAGGTGTTAATGAATATTTACTTTTTACAATTGATGAAATATTTACAATTTACAAAAGTAAGAAAGCAGATATTGTGTTTTTAAATTTCAGTGAAAAGCTCCAAAACCTGGAGTATTAAAGTTATATATTTGTTTTACACTTTCAGGTATCTGAAATTCCAAACTGAACATAAAAACAAAGACAATCTATCTAAACTAAATTCCAAACTAAACATTTTAAAGAAAGGTAATTGATACTGTTAGCACAGGACTAGTAAAATATTAATCCATTTTACAAGAGCTATGGACATTTCAATTTCTCTGATATCTTAGAAAAAGTTAAAACTATTATTATTATTTATTAACTACTTTAATTCCAGGGTGTCAATGCTTAGATTATTCAAAGCCATATTCATAGTTTTCAGGTACTTACACATTATTTTTAAATAGGCCTAGGACTGCATTGGTTATGTAGGAGACAACATTAGAGGACCATATTTTATTTCAAATTTTCGTTCTTTTATCCTAGATACTCCTTTATCATAACAAACTACTGGATTGTGAGTCATTTTAAAACTGCACTTTATCTACTTTTTTGTATAATAGTAGATAATGAGTAAATGTATGTTCACCTTTATTTTAAAATTATTCCTGAAGAGACACCTACTGATATTGGAGTATCATTTAAAATATATTTTCCTCATTAACCGGGCCCCCATCCCACAACAGCCCTCAAAATAGTGCCTATAACTTTTACCACAAATCTTTACCTGTAGCAAGTATCTATTAAATAGATTGCTTATGGATGAAATATTAAAATTCTACCTTTAACATACTTTAAGAAATGTGATTGAAAGTAAAATTTTTCACTGACAAGATAAACTGTACAGTAAGACCTTATGTTGTTGGATCAGGCTTTAGGAGCCTCAGTCATTTAGAACATAGAATTGAAAGTTTTTTCAGCATCAGAGAAAATAGTACAAAGCCCATGTACAAACCCCATAGTTGAGGTGTTGAGCCAACTTCAGCAACTTGTATGGAGCCTATTGACTGAGAATTTTGTGCATAGCAATACTGCTGATTAGTAACTTTTATTATCTAGCAATCCTTACTACCTTTTGCTTTTTAGTAAGCCATAATGTATAGCAGCGGTGTCAAGACTTAAATAGAAATGGATCCCTGTGGGTCATGCCTTGATTTAGAAAACCACTAATTAACATTATTTATATTACATTGTATTTTAATTTATTTTGTTAAACATTTCCCCATTACAGTTTAATCTTGTTGCAGCCAGACTCAAATATCTGTTTGACACCTATGATGTACAGTATTCTAATAGCTGTGAGTGGAGACCTTCTAGAGGCAAACACTGTCAGTTATGGAACTGTGGAGTGACACATGCAGTGAGTGTAGAAGTAAGCTAGGATCAGGGGAACCAGGCATATGCTGGAATAGGGAATTAACAGTATTGATGGTCTGCAACTAGGCTATCTTAAAGTCTACCAACTACTCTGGAGGCCAGGAGAATGCACAGATCAAATGTTATGCTGGAACCAAGATTCAGAAACCAGACAGATAAGCAGAAATTAAATTTAAAGAAATTAATATTAATTAATATAATTAAATATATGAAGGTGCCAGAGAGTAGTAAGCAGAAGGTTAGGAACCAGAAAGGTGAACCAAAATCAGTTCATATATGACTATTAAGTACCAAGGAGACTTTGAAACTGAAGCAAATGCCAAAATACTATTCTATTTTGCCTACTGGAGTGGAGAGCACTTAGTATATCTAAGGTAGAAGCATCAGATTAGTTGTACCTGTTGAGAGGAAGAACATAGGTGGACCATAAGTGCAGATCTTGACAAATTCTGAGAGCAACGTGAATGAAATCAGGAAAATGGGGCAAAAGAATTATTTAAAAGCAACAGCAACAAAAACAGAAAAACTATGAATGTGCAGAAGTCCGAGACCATTTGTGGTAGGGGCAAATGTCACTATATACCTCAGTAGTTTAGCAGGGCATCACTGTCCTGTATCACAGTTCATTAAGTGATCTTCACAATGAAGACACTGAATCCACAAGAAATGTTTAATTGTATTCAGCATATATAAAACAAGGAAAGTAGTGTATTTTAGAAACCAAAAATGTTTTTCTTGCTCTCCTACCCAACATATACACAGAAAGAGCGTTTTTAAAAGAGAAAGCTTAAGTCATCTGGAAAGTTCGTTTATGTGAAACACTTCATTCTTTAGTGATGTTAGATGAATGCAGTGTTAATACTCAAAATACTCAGATGAATCTTTGATCTCCTCAATTCAGGAATTCCTTCTAACAATACAAATTGCAAGCTGTGAATTATAATCAGAACATGTCCATTTATGTTCAGTGAACTGTTTGCATATTTTACCCTTAAAAGGAAAACATTTCTCACTAATTGTAAGAAACTTCAATACAGAAGTTACATTCTTGTTATTTTTGAATACAGTTGTGCAGTATTGGATTATTTAGACTTTTGAGTATTGAGATTATGTTTAATATATGAATGTAACATTAATATGTACAAATTGTGCACAATTATAGCTATGCAAATGATATAAAATTATAAATATTTGGGAACAGTCCACTTTTAAAATGTAGATTAAGATAGAATGTTTGGTATGTTGATTAATTCAGTAGGGTTATATTGTAGTGCTATTTAAAATCAACTATTTAAATTTTTTACTTTTGTCTACTTGAAATTGACCTTTTAAAATTTTAATTAAGCTGCTTTATAAATATAAATTTATTTTTTTACAAATGGAAAATATTCTTTTTGCTTTGGAAACTATTTGACATGTTTGGTGGTTTTTGATATATTAGCAAATATATTAAACTTAATAAATACTACATTAACTTTAGAGTGCACTGGAAAAATCAATATATATACAATTATTTGTAAAATAAAAGAGTTCCCTCTTATAGTTAATTGAAAAAGATGGAATTGAGTAAATTATCTTTTTCAACAATGGAACCATAAAGAAGTAATCTCTTGTAGGAAAATACTTTTCATTTCAATGGGCACCATATTTTATGAAGATGTTTATTTTACTTAATTTTCTTAACCAAAAAACTCAGTTTAATATTTTATGCCAAGTGCATGTAAATTTGTAGAATATCTTTAAAGAAACTAAAACCGGTTTAGAATGTCAGGGCTTCAGTATTGAACACAATGGACTTTATATCAAAACCAGAATTCATTAGCTTCCCCACTAAATCTTCCCAATCTCAAAACTTCCCATTTCAATTGAATGTACCAATCCTCCCATTGACTTTGTTTTGCACCCTTGTGAGTTACCCTTTGTTCTTTACTCTGTCACACAGTATACAGTTAGTCTTAGCAATTCTATCTCCATAACATCTTTTTCATCTTTTTTCCTTTGTTTACTCCTCTCCTTTCCCTCCCTTCCTCCCTTCGTTGCTTCCTTCCTTCCTCTCCTCATCTTTTCCAGGCTGGAAGGAAAGGAGCTACTTATGGGCACTGGTTGGCATGGGAGTTTTGACCTGCTCTGTATCTGACCTAGGATAGCCACCCTTCCTTAGTCAATTAGATGCATCCCTTCCCCCTTCAAGCCCCTCTCCTGATCCCAGGAACTCACCACATTGATACCAAACTTAGTGTGGCTGCTCCATCTGCACAGCTTATAGTAATTTAGAACTCTTAAGGTCAAGAACCTTCCTGGTAATTGGAATTACAACCATATACCACCAGGCCCAACTCATTCATCCCCTTCGCCCCATTTTTAGGTATCCACCTAGTTCATTCAGTCTCTTAACACTTCCCACCTGGACTATTGAAATAGCTTATATCCAGTCTCTGCCCTCTTCAATTCATTATCCATACAACTATCAAAAAAAAATCTTAAAGCATAGATATAACAAAGTCTCTCTTTCACTTGAAATTCTTCATTGACTTCCTACTGTCCCTAAACTCTAAACTATAAAATTCCAACTGCCTCATTTGATATTTAAAATCTTGCACAATTGGTTTCTGGGTTTCCTTTTTTTAAAATTAGTTTATTTTGATTTATCAACAATCACTTCCATAAGCTTTTGAGTTTTAAAATTTTCTCCCCCTCCCTACCCCACTCTGTCCCTAAGATGCTGCGCAATCTAATATAGCTGGGCTTCTTTTTGAAAATGTTTAATTTATAGTCTTATCTTTTTCTTGGTATCATTACTGTTTTCCAATGATTACTCTCCTCCATAGAATGCTCCATTGTAACAGGTAAGCACAATTAAGGAAAACAAGTAAACATTGGCCATGCCTGAAAATGTATGTTTCATTTCATTACACTAGTTTATCACATCTCTATTGAAAGGCAGAAGACATGTTTCACCACCAGGCCTCTGAAATCACAATTAGTTACCATATTGATTGGAGTTTTGAGGTCCTTCAGTGTTTTTCTCCTTTGAGCAATTGTGGCCATTTTGTAAATTGTTTTTCCTGATTATACTTACTTTGCTCTGCATCAGTTCATATGACTCTTCCCAAGATTTTCTAAATGCTTTATATCCATCATTTCTGGTGAAATAATATTCCCATGTATTCATATATCACAATGTTTGGCTAATTCTCCAGTTGGTGGGCATTCACTTTTCTTCTATTTCTTTGATATGATAAAATGTTCCAACTTTATATTAGGCTTTTCATACTTTCTGTATTTCAGCTAAATTGGTGTAGTCACCATTTCCCCAATTCTGTCTTCATGCCTTTGCAAAGGCTTTCCCCCTTGCCTGGAATTCACCCTCATTCTCATCCCCATTTCATAGGATTTCTAGCTTCCTTCAAGGCAGAGTATATCTGTTACCTCCTTTGGTGAGCCTTTCTTGATGGCCATGCTAATTACTGCTCTCCTTACTGTTATTTTTCTGTCTCTATATTGTATCCTTCAGTAGATAGTAAGTTCCTTGAAGTCAGGGACTATTGTTTTTGTCTTTGAATCACCAGTGCCTAACACAATGCACTTTATATTTTATTGACTGAATGATTGTTAATCATTCATATGTAATCTGTGAAGGAATAGAAGACATTCAGTAATAAACTGTAGTTTAAAATTTAAGACTGTTAGTCTACAAAAATCATGACAGACATAGCCAGGATAAGGAGCAGTCAAAGTGGATAGCCATTGAAGGCACAGTTTACAGAGAGTGAGCTGTGCAATCAGGGATTTTTTTCTTTTGGTAAATTCTATTTTTATTGATGTATTTTGTTTGTACATCACACAATTTCTTAATATAGCTTTGCAAAGCAAGCCATCCTTTATAAGAAATTTAAAAAAAGAACAGGTGGAAGAACAGTTTGGCAAAACCAACCAACACAGCAACCATGTTGGAGATCATATTCAATATTAGCTACCAGTAGTTCTGTGTCTCTTAAAAGAAGGAAAAGAGGTTCATTTTCTTAGCTCTTTTCCAAGGCCAACCTTGGTCATTGTAATTACACAGTGGTCAATTTCACTTTACTATTCTTTCCATTTATATCATTGTCATTGCTAGTTACATTGTTTTCCAGATTCTGGTTATTTCATGCTTCATTGTCATACATGATCATATGCTGTTCTTAATCCTTCACTCTTTATGACACAGTAATATTCCATTACATTCATGTACAATCATTTGTTTAGCCATTGTAGGTACACAAATTATATGCACAAACATAATTTTAAATAAGTATTTTTAGCTAAAAAGTTTGTCTTTCTATGGGATTTAGATATTGATTTCTATGATAAATCAATTTTTGTACTTCTGTGAAGGCTAAAGCCCTGGTTACATATAGAAAGAAGGGGAAGCATTTTTAAAAAAAATATTGAATGAAGTACACATAAATGTCTTGAATAATGTCTGATTCCTCTGTTAGATGCAACTTTTGTATTATGTACAACTGTAGTAAATTGAATGTTTATTTAAATATGGATACCATACAAGGTATTTCTAACAACATAAGGAATCTAATCTCTGTTAAGTAGGTAGATAGTTCATTACTTTATAGTCACACAGTATGTCTGGACTTGTATACTTATACTATATATCTGACAGACACTTCTTCCCCAAACTACTCCATATACACTCAAACAATTTCATTCCTAAATTTCTAAAGAATATAATTCTAAATTGCTTAATCTTTCTTCAACAAATGTAATTACTGTTGTATTTCTGAAAATGGCCCTCTGTTTAATAAACTGTCCAAAGACATATTTGCAACAATTACTCTTTCTACATTGCTTTTTGTTTTTTCTGTGAATCATGAAGATGAAGCAATACTCAGAAAGTACTCATCTCAAAATACTGTAAATGAAAATTTGTATTTCAGAGCAATCAACTTTAGAAAAACTATCTGGCTACTCTGCTATTGCTATCGATGTATCACTATTTAATTAAGACAAAATTCTATAGTTGAGACATAATCTCAGTTTTATGGAAAGATTCAGAGGATTCAACATTGTCAATAAAAAGATCTACCTCTTGTTTGCAGGAAGACATTCCTAGTTAAAAAACTTTGAGACTGAAATTGTGGGCAATTTAAAAAATCTTTTTATTTATTTATTTTTATTAATTTATTTTGATTTATCAACAATCACTTCCATAAACTTTTGAGTTTAAAATTTTTCTCCCCCTCTTTCCCTCCCCCTCCCAAAGACGGCATGCAATCTGATACAGGCTATGCATATACATTCCTATTAAATATATTTTCACATTAGTCATGTTGAAAGGAAGAAATAGAACCAATAGGAGGAACCACCAGAAAGAGGAAACAAAACACAACAGAAGAAAAAAATATAGCAAATAATATTCCTCGATCTGCATTCAAGCTCCATAGTTCTTTCTTTGGATGTGGATAGTATTTTCCATCATGAGGCCTTTGGAGATGTCTTAGATCCTTGTATTGCTGAGAAGGGCTAAGTCCATCAATATTAGTCATTGCATAATGTGGCTGTTAGTATATAAAATGTTCTCTTGGTTCTGCTCACTTCACTCAGCAACAGACCATACAAGTCTTTCTAGGTTTTTCTGAAGTCTGCCTGCTCATCATTTCTTATAGTACAATAGTATTCCATTGCGTTCATATACCACAACTTGTTCAGCCATTCCCCAATTGATGGTCATCCTCTCAATTTCCAATTCTTTGCCACTACAAAAAGATCTGCTATAAATATTTTTATGCATGTGGGTCCTTTTCCCATTTGTATGATCTCTTTGGGATACAGCCCTACAAGTGCTATTGCTGGGTCAAAGGGTAAGAACATTTTTACAGCCCTTTGGGTGTGGGACACTTCTTTGGAAAGAAGTGACTCTAAAATCATTTTTGTTACTTTATTTGGATTACAGTACTTCCAATAATAATTTAAACATTCTAAAATTGGATTACAGTATTAAAAAAAATCAGGATTACACATCATATATATCATGAACCAAAATTTCAATAAGAAACAATGGGATTAGTTTTGAAATTTTTTAGTGTATTTTATAAGCCTTAAAAAATAATGTAAATGGCAATGATAAGGAATTTATAAGATTAGTTGTAAACATATAAAAAAATACAGCATTATCCCTATATTAGAAAGATCATCATTAAATAGTTACTTTAATCAATTAGTTCTCAAACTTTTTGGTTTCAAGTTGGCTTTGCACTTTTAAAATTTACCATGGAACCCAGAAAGCTTTTGTTCATCTAGGTTATGTCTATCAGTATTTGCTGTATTAGAAATGAAAACAGCTTGCAGACCATCTGAAAGGGTCTCAGGGACCTGCAGGGGTCTCTGGACAACACTTTGAGAACCATTGTTTAGTGAATCACAGGTTATACTTATGACTCCTTAAGACCATTAAATATCCAAGAATTTGGAGCGTTTACATGTCTTTTTAGAACAGATTGTCTTGAAATTACTGCAAAAAAAGAGATAGTGTTATAGAAAGTCCATTCCAAAAAAAAAATACTGTGTCTGGTAATCCAGAAAAAACAATTCTGTACCTCTTTCAACTTTTTATATTGTCACATTTAAATCCCATTTGGACAGCTCACTATCTAAAAGAGAGTTGTGGTAATTTTTTCTGATTACTGTTGAGTATACCATCCAGGACCCAAATCTATTTATCATTCCTGACTCTTCACTCTCTCTCCCCACCATATCCAATCTATTCCCAAGTCCTGTTAATTATATTTTCATAATATCTCTTGTATGTGACACTGCCATCACCCTGATTCAGGCCATGCCTGGACTATTTCAATAGACTACTGGTTGGTCTCTCTATCACAGGTTGGTTCCTCCAGTCATTCAATCAATAAACCTTTATTAAATACCTACCATGTGCCAGGCACTTTGCCAAACTCTGAATTTCTAGCTCCCAACATGAGACTATTCTGTCCTTACGATAAGAGTTCATCCTATATAGCTAGCTCCAGCCACCTGACTTTGTTTTTGATCGGCCCTGTGTCCTACCCCCAAACCTTTTCCACATCTTTTTCTGGTTACAGTAACCAATAAATACCCCATAACCCTAAATTGCTTTTAGGAAGGGAGATGTCAATTGATTGCCGTATGGATGCACTTGTATCCCTGTGACTCATCATACTAAAATTCCCTTGCCTTACCAATCCCTATTCATTTCTATTAAAATATAGGCTCCTTGAAGCCAGGGATTATATCTTTTTTTTTTCCTGTCACCAGTTCTTAGCTCAGTGTACGACACATAGTAAGTACCTATTAAATGTTTTTCATTCATTCATTTATTAAATCCTGATTTGAATAACATTTTGTCATAGATAATTTTGTAAAATGTATATTGAGGCAACATCTCTCTTTGGCTTCCTTCATTTCCTTCACCTTCTCTTTCCTCTAACCCTAATTCACTTCGTCTTGCTTCCTGGAGATATAAAACTCAAGTGACCTCATGTTAAAGAAGGCAAGTAATAACTCTCATTGTATTTCTTTTTTGTTGTTAAATTTCATTGTATTAGCAAAAACATTTGTCTCTTCTATTTTTAAAGATCACTCTTAAGAATTATACTCTAGGGGCAGCTAGGTGGTGCAGTGGATAGAGCACTGGCCCTGAAGTCAGGAGGACCTGAGTTCAAATCCGGCCTCAGACCAAGCACTTGACACATACTAGCTGTGTGACCCTGGGCAAATCACTTGACCCCAATTGCCAAAAAAAAAAAAGAATTATACTCTAAATTTGTAGAAGTCATTTTTGTGGACTCATATGTTTGTACTAACTTAGAAATCCCCCAGAGTCAATATACTTCTTAGTCTTCATAAAATGAATAAATGAATTAATTAAAAAAATTTATTAAAGCACTTAAAGTGTGCTAGTCACTGTGTTAAGCATTTGTTATAAAAATACAAGAAAACAAGATAATCCCTGCTCTCAAGGAGTTTACATTCTAATGTGAGGAGACAACATGTATAGGGATGCTAAATTTTGAAAGAGTTTGGAGATAGATGCTCAGTTTTATGGCTTAGAGATGCCTGGAAAGGCAAAAGAGAAAGAAAGTTCATTAATCAGAGCCCTTCTGGATAAAGGAAGAGAAGGGGTTCGAGAAAAGAGAGGAGGATGAGGAAGAGAAAAAGGAGGAGAAGACAGAGGAAGGGAAAGGAAAAGGAGGGAGAGACAGGGGAGGAAAAAGAGCGGTAGGAGTAAGAGGAGGGAGTGAGGTAAAAGGAGAGGGAGGAAAAAGAGGAGAGGAGGATAAAGAAGAGGAAGAGAAGAGGAGGAGGAGGAAAAAGAAAAGGAGGAAGAGGAGACCAGATTGTAAGAGACATGTCTTTCTCAAACAGTGTATCTCCTTCTTAGTGGTAATGGGGAGGAAGAGTAGAGTCAGATTACCTGGAATTTTATCATTCTTTTTAAAAAATCCCAAGTTACTGCTTAGAAAATAGTGGTAAGTTGTATTACTAACTGAAAAGAAAACAGTTCAGTCTTTCCACAATGTATTGTAGCTGTCATTTCCTTTGCTTAACCAACAGGTGGCTCTGTTGTTTTTTCTAACAGTTATGTTGCTATACTTTCTTTAGGAAAATAAAAATTTTAGGACTCACAACTGTCCAGTCTTCCTCCCCACCCCCACCCCAATATCAGACAGTCCTGAGATAGTAAAAAGTATATTTCTGATTCTTTAATAAGATTGCATTTTATCACTTGGGAAATTATTATGATTCTTTAAATACTTCTTCCCTTTATCATTTAACAAAGTCCTTTTCACATTGCAAAGATTATTAAAATCCAACTCAATTTAATTTATATTTAGTAAGCGTCTACTATCTGAAAGCATTAATTCTTACCAGCTCTGCTTCTGACTCTCTGGACTTGATCACCACATTTCATCTGCCTTCTCCCCCTGGAACACCTCTTGACCTTTCTGGCCTTGCCCTTTCCCTCCCACTGGTGAATTCTTTTTAGAACTTTCATTTTGAGGAATGCCCAGAACAATCTTCCTCTATTCTAGTTCTGGATCTCCTTCTAACTCTCTGGACTTCAGAGGTACCTTCCCCCTACTTCCCCTTTTCAGGTCTCTTTTACATGTTGCCTTTCCCTATCAGAATACAGTTGTTGAGGGCACGGAATGTATCTTTTGGCTTTTATTTATATTTACAATGTGTAGCACAGTATCTGCCACATAGTAAGTGCTTCATAAATTTTTTGACTTATTTGGCATTGCCCAAAGACAAAAACAAGAATCTTTTCCCTCAAAGATCTTATAATCTACTGGGGAAATCCAATTTTTATACACAGAAAAATGAATATGAAATAATTGTAAAACAAATTAAGGGGAAGGAAGAAATCAGGGACACTAGTGTAGAAGACGGCACCTGAACAGAGCTTTGAAGAAAGCTGGGGATTCCAAGAAGCTGAGGGGAGTACTCCACACATGAGGAACAACTTATTCTAGGCATAGAAGTGCAGAATATAATGTTGCATACAAGGAACAGCACATAGGCTAGTTTGGCTAGTGTATAAAGTTAATGAGGAAGAGTAGTATAAAATAAAACTAAGAACATAGGCCAGAACCAAATCATAAAGGGTTTTAAAATATTAAATAAAGGAGTTTGTATTTTACCCTTGAAGTAATAGGGAGCCAATGAAGCTTCTTAAAGAAGAGAATGACATGGCCAGACCTGAGCTTTAGAAAGATGATTTTTGCATTTATGTGGAGGATACAATTGAGTGAGGGGAGGACTGAGGCAGGGAGATTAATTAAGAAGATATTATAGTAGCCTTGGCGATGGGTGATAAAAGCCTGAACTAGAGTGATGATCACATGAGTAAAGAGAAGGGGACAGATGAAAAAATAATGTAGAAGAAGAATTGACAAGACTTGGCAATGGCTAGGCTATGAGGACAGAAGGAAAGGAAAGAGACAAAGTTGACTCTGAGGTTGCCATTATTGTATAGTAGAAGGAGGGTCTGATTTTGGGGGAAAGGAAAGTTCTTCCCACCGAAGTCCTTGACACTTGCCAAATGGTTCAATAAGTTTTGTTTTAGAATTAAGTTGAGATGCCAGCTGGAACTGTCCAGCAGACCACGATATGGAACTGCAACTCAGTAGAGAAATATATATATTTGGGAGTCATAAACAGAGTGATATTGATTGAACCCATGGGAGTACATAAGGGAGATTATACAGACAGAAGGGGGTCTAGGATATATCCTATGGCTTGTTTGTACTTGGTGAATTGGATATGGATGAGTATCCTGAAAAGAAGACTGAGGAGATCAGCAGTGTTGAAAGATGCAGAGAAATGAAGAAGAGTGAGAACAAGGTGTGTGTCTTTGGATTTAGAAATTAAAAGATAGTTAGCTAACCTTGGAGAAAGACATTTCAGTTGAATGATAGAGTTAGAAACCCAATTGTCATTAAAAAAATTTAAAAGAGAACTATGTGAGGGACCTTTTAGAACTATGGCAAGGGGAAGAGTTCTTAAAAATGAGAGAAATAGGGAATTTAAAAATATAAAATAGATAAATTTGATTACATGAAATTGAAAAAGTTTCGCCTAAACAAAAATCAATTAAGTAGCATAAAAAGGGAAACTATAATTTGGAAGAAAAAAAAACCTGTCTAACTCTGATAAGGGTCTGAGATAATCAAGCTATATAAGGGATTTATATACATACATACATACATATATACACACATACATGTATATATATCTGTGTATACATATGTATATCTTTATATATCTCCAAGAGCCATTTCTCAATGAATAAATAGTCATTAGATATGAACAAATAGTTCTCAAAAGCAAATTTGAAAAAACAAGTGGTTACCATATGAAACATTTTTCTAAGTCACTAATAATGAGAGAAATGCAAATGAAAACAATTCTGAGATTTTACTTCATAACCAGAAAGCTGGCAAACATGACCAAAGATGGAAATAATTAATGTTGGAAGGATTGTAGAAAGATTAGCATATTAATAGACTGTTGTTGGAACTGTGAATTCATCCATCCATTCAGGAAAGAAGTTTGGAATTAGCTATGAAAGTGAACACAATATTCATGTGCTTGATCCGGAGATTCCATTGCTAGGCACATAGCCTAAGAAATTCAAGATAGAAAGGCCCCATGTTCTCCAATATATTCATGATAGGTACTTTTTACAGTGAGGAAACCAAAAATAAAAGAGCACAAAAACACCCTGATACTAGAAGCAAAGCAGATACCCACTGAATGTAAAGTGGTTAAACAAATTATGGTGTATGAATCTAATGAGATATTACCGCAGCATAAGAAATTATGAAGACAAATTGAGAGAAGCATGAGATGATATATATCAACTAATTTATGAGGAAGTAAGCAAAATCAGAAAAATCATGAACAAGACTTCAGAATGTTAAAAAAACAAAAACAATATGTTGTTGGGCAAGGGCCGGGAGCACAAGGCTTTAGTCTCTACAGTATCTTCTCCTGTTTTCCTTGGAAAGGAAGGGAAGGGAGACTGTGAGAATGCTGTAATTTGGTCTTCAGCAAGCAGAAGGTCTTTGACAGGGTTTGGGTATAGGTTGTTCTCACCTAATCTTCCAATACTGCTGGGAATGTATGCTTCTCGAGGGCAGAGACCGAGTGCCTAGCGTAAGAAGTACTTAATTAAAATTTGGTGATTGATGTATTAATTTGTTCTCTCACATATAAAAGTGAAAGCCCCAATGTTTAGGAGCCACTTTTGTTTTGTTGTTGGGTCATTTCAGTCATGTCTGTCTCTTTGTGACCTCATTTGGGTTTCTCTTGGCAAAGATACTAGTGTGGCTTGCCATTTCCTTCTCTAGCTCATTTTACACATGAGCAACTGAGGCAAACAGGGTTAAATGACTTGCCTAGGGTTACACAGCTAGTGAGTCTCTGAGGCCAGATTTGAACTCATAAAGATGAATCTTCTTGATACTAAGCCCAGCGCTCTATCCATTGTACCACCTAGTTGCCACCAGCTCCTGGATGGATCTCAGCTATGTTGTTGGAAGTCTTGGAGTAGGACCCAAAGACTCTGGGTGGTTATGTCACAGACTGGTAAATGACCTCACTAAATCCATGCTTTAACAAACAAAAATGAAAAAATAGTAATGATAATTTGTGAGAGTAAGCTAATTATCTCTTCCATAGATCTAACTGGACAAGTAATTTTACCTCTCTTGTTCTGTAGATCCAAATTGTACTGCCAAATGAGATGGTCTAATGGACTTTAGAGTACTAGATGATCTCTAAGGGGGATGAGAACAAGCATTTATATAGTACCTACTATGTATCAGGCAATATGCTTTTTACAGTTATTATCTTGTTTGGTCCTCACAACAATCCTTCAAGATAGGTGCTATTACTATCCTTATTTCACAGTTGAGGAAACTAAGGCAAATGGATGGTAATGTATTTGCCCAGGGTCACAGAAGTATTAAGGATCTGAGATGGATTGGAACTCAGGTCTTCCTGACTCCAGGTCTAGCTCTCTGTTTACCATACCACCTAGCTGCCTTTAACATATCTTAAAATGTTAAACCTCTAGAGTCAGAGGAGCTGGGTTCCAATTCTACCTCTGACATTCACTATTGCTGTAATCATGGACAAATCACTTAATCTTCTTGGGCTTCAGCTTTGTCCTCTATAAAATGAGGGAGATGGATACAATTATGATGTATGATGAATTATGTATTTATTATGCATGATATACTAAGATTCTTATTCCTATCATATGACTTTTCTTTCACCAACTGAGATTTTACTTCCTTAGTTTACTTCAGTTAACATTTAAGTATACTTATATTACAAGGGGTCAGTTATGTGGTTGAACAAATTGGCTTTAATTTTATTTTAATATTTATCAAATATCAGCAAGAATAAGACCTGGTCCCTGATCTTAAGAAGATTATGGTTTAATAGATTATCCGAAAAACTAAGTAACAATAATGTATTTAAATAATGATTCAATACAATAGTTCAATAGAATAACAGTTTGTCAAAAGAGATATTACAAGGCAATACATGATAATTTAGTAAAAGAATTGTGGAGCTGTGTGTTTTAACTTGGTATAGGAGGTATATTATCTGTTTGTGGGTAACCCATAAAAGAGACAATCCATTCAAAACAACGCACTGAAAGAGTTAACTGTAATTCTCAGTTTTATATCCTCCTTAGCATTTAATTAAGGCTTGGGTTCTCCCCGATTCAATGAAAGCCAGAATATGATATCATTCCTGTCAACCAAAAATGAAATATAAGAACCTAGAGACATGCTTTCTCCACAAAAGTTTTAATACAAAAGTCACTTTTTTACCGTGGCTTTTAAGAGGTATATTCAACATCATCATCATCTTCATCATCATCATCATCATCAACAACAACAACAACAACAGCAATAGCAACACCTGGAAGGCATATTCTAGAGCTATTTACAAGCAATGCTAGTCTTCTGTAGTCAAGTTGGGAATGGGTGAGCAGGTGCTTTTTCCTTATGTAACATTGCCTTGTTCATAGTTCTTTTTGATTTGACAATATATTTAAAAAAAGGCGCGAGGGCAAAATATCTATTAAGCATCATTATCACAGAGAAATGAAGAGAAAATAATACCAAAAAAAATCTCTACAAAAGGCATATAGAGCTGGGAGGGATGAGTCGTCACAGGAGTGCTGGAATAGTTCTGACATCTCATTTCTCGTTAGGCCTCCTGGATGATGGGGCAGGGGTGGAGGTTGTTTGTAGTGGAGGCAGGAAACTCTGTTTACTTTGTTGTGTTTGCATAGGGCACTATATTTCATGGGAACCTTCATGGCTTTGATTTTTTTTTTTAAATGCATTTTTAAACAGAAGATCTGAGCTTGGCTGACAAAATGCAGCCACAATTTTATGTGCAGGCTAGTGTGAGATTTGTTTTATTCTT